AAGGGAGGGAGGAAGGAAGGAGGGAGGGAGGGAGGGAAGGAGGGGTCCATTGCTGCTCCGTTAGACTCAGTCCTGCCGCCCTTAAGGGTGTTTACCTGATGACTCCTGGGAAGTAGCTGTTGTTTCCTCCTCCCACCTTGCGGTTCTGGAACCTTCTCCAACACCCACCTTCTAAGGTCACAACAAACCATTCCCTACCAGCATCCGCTCCCTCCACATGCCAAGTACTAAACCACGTTTGCTTGAGTATCTCCATTTCTCACAGCCACCTTCAGTCTTGCAACTTGGCATGCTTTTTTCAGCAACCAGATGGAAACACAGCCCAGCGACGTTGAGCAGCACCCCAGAGTTCTTCAAGCAGCACCCCAGAGGGAGACGCTTCTTTTAGGACAAATTTTCTCTCCCGCAAAGCACTTCTCGTAATCTCAAAAGGAGCCTCTTGTCTCCCTCTTTGTCCAGCAACTGCAGAGTCATTCTGGGACCCACAGAGTCCCCACCTTGTCACATTGTCCTATTATTTTTCCCTCCTGGGAAGCTCAAATAGAACCCCGAGTCATGTTCCCCCAGTGCTCACACTGCAGCTGTGTTCCGTCAGTGTGCTCACACTTGCCCTCGCTGTGCGCTATAGGACTATCACAGCCCATTTAAGAACTGACTCCATTTAATGAAATGACAACAGTCCAGCGTGGATGGTGAGCATGCAGGTCAAACCCAACTTTGTGTTTCAGCTGATCCACTTTCTTCATTCTGTGATGGGTCCAAATAGGGCATTTAGGGTTCTTGGTCCTTGAACAGCAATAATGAAGGTGTGCACCCAACAGAGAGTTCCTGGGCAGGGCAAACGGTGAAGCACTCAGCTGCTCACCAAAGGGTTGGAGGTTCGTGCCCACCCAGAGGTGCCTCGGAACCAAGGCCTGGTGATCCACATCCGAAAAAAAATCAGTCACTGCAAACTCTATGGAGCACATTTCTACTCTGACATACAAGGGGTCGCCATGAGTCAAGGCAAACTCCACGGCAACTGGTTTGTTATATATACACGTACATATATATACACATATTTACATATTGTGTGTGTGCACATATACACATATAATATATATGGGTGTGTGTGTATTAAAAAAACAACCCCTTGCCATCGAGTCGAATCCAACTCATAAAATCCCTATAGGGCAGAGTAGAACTGCCCCACAGTTTCCAAGGAGCTGCTGGTGGATTTGAACAGCCGACCTTTTGGTTTGCAGCTGAGTTCTTAACCACTGCACCACTAGGGCTCCATGTACGTATATATATATATATATACATGTGTGTATGTATACATATATATATGTATATAAATCCCCCCCCCAAAAAAAATGTTGCCATCAAGTCAATTTTGACTCATAGTGACCCTGCAGGACAGAGTAGAACTGCCCCATAAGGTTTCCAAGGCTTTAAATCTTTACAGAGGCAGACTGCTACATCTTTCTCCTGCGGAGCGGCTGGTAGGTTCGAGCTACCAACCTTTTGATTAGCAGCCGAGAACTTTAACCACTGCTCCACCAGGGCTCCTTATATAAAAAAATAGCTATCTATTTTTCTATCTGT